TCAGTGCGCCCACAATGCCTCCATTACCCACAATGCCTCATTACCCACAATGCCTCAGTGCATCCAAGAGGAAATTGGGGAAAAAATGGGAATTTTTGGGTGAAAAAATTGGGAATTTTGAAGGGAAAAAATGGGAATTTTTGGAGGGAAAAAAGGGGAATTTTGGGGTGGAAGAAAAGGGAATTTTGAGAGGAAAAAATGGGAATTTTTGGGCGAAAATTGGGATTTTTCAGGTGAAAAAAACGGGATTTTTGCTGGGAAAAAAGCAAATTTTGGTGAAACTAAATGGGAATTTTTGGGTAAAAAATGTGATTTTTTTGGGGAAAAATCTTGGGAATTTTAGGGTGAAAAAATTGGAATTTTTGGGTGAAAAAATGGGAATTTTTGGGTAAAAAAATGGGATTTTTTTGAGCGAAAATTGGGATTTTTTGCGGTGAAAAAATTGAGATTTTCGTTGGAAAAAACCCAAATTTTGGTGAAAATAAATAGGAATTTTTGGGGTAAAAATGTGAATTTTTTGGGGAACAAACTGGGAATTTCAGGGTGAAAAATTGGAATTTTTTGGGTGAAAAAATGTCAATTTTTGGGTGAAAATTGGAATTTTTAGGGCAAAAAAAAGCGATTTTTGCTGGGAAAAAAAGCAAATTTTGGTGAAAATAAATGGGAATTTTTTAGGAAAAAATGTGAATTTTTTGGGGAAAAAAACTGGGAATTTTAGGACTAAAAAATGGGAATTTTTGGGTAAAAATTGAGAATTTTTGGGCGAAAATTGGAATTTTTAGGGCGAAAAAAAGCGATTTTTGCTGGGAAAAAAGCAAATTTTGCTGAAAATAAATGGGAATTTTTTGGGTAAAAAAAGTGAATTTTTTGGGAAAAAACTTGGCAATTTCAGGGCGAAAAATTGGAATTTTTTGGGCGAAAAAATGGGATTTTTCGGGCGAAAAAAATCCGATTTTCACGCAAAAAAAAAAAAAAATCTAAAAATTTTTTTTTTTTTAAATTTCCCAGAATCCTTTGCTCACCTGATGTCATCATCAGTCACCACGAAAGCTTTACAAAGGGGTTGGGACGTGTTCAACCAAATGCCGGGATTTTTTTCCACCGCCGCCGAATTTTGCCCCGTGATGGGAGCAGAGCTGGTGTGGAGAGCGCTGGCCACGGCAGAGAGCAAAGATTCCGTGCTCGCTCCTGGACCTACACCTAAAAAAAAATGAAAAAAAAATTAAGTTTTTTAATCATAAAAAATGGGGGATTTTTTGGTGAAATGATGTTTTTTTTCCGGGAAAAAATCGCGTTTTTTTTGGCGAAGAAATTCGATTTTTTCGGTAAAAAAATTCCAAATTTTTCCCAAAAAATTCGCATTTTTTGGCCAAAAAAATCCCATTTTTCCCCTAAAAAATTTCCTAAAATTTGCATTTTTTTCACCAAAAAAATCCCATTTTTTACCAAAAAAATTAAATTTTTACGCCCAAAAATTTCATTTTTTCATTAAAAAATTGGATTTTTTTCCCTAAAATTCTCCATTTTTTCCCAAAAAATTCCATTTTTAT